CTTTTACTAAAATTAAACGCCAGACAACTAGCCTTGCCTTTTCAAATATTCAAGGTTTTGCTAACAAATATCTTTTCGGTTAAAATGCGGTACACAACGGCCTCGGAGGATGCCTTCCTGTGGTAAAAATCATCATGGTTTAACCTCATATCGAGAAGTCCTTGGTTGTGTTTACCATCAATTGAAACTAAGGCTTCTTCGGGCAGAGCCACATTTGAAAAATTAGCATTTCAAAACATACCCCATGTGTGGATCGAACTCAAGACCTTCAGATTATGAGACTGACGCGCTACCTACTGCGTAAAAGAGGCCTCTTTGCCAAAGTAGTTCCAGGTGGCTAAATAGAAGTGGCAGTAGATGTGTAGTTTTAGTAAGCAGATATATTGTTTTGGCGGCCAATCTGCAGGCTTTTTACAGAAGGAGCCGTTTCTGTAGTGTAGTGGTTATCACGTTCGCCTTACACGCGAAAGGTCCCCGGTTCGAGACCGGGCAGAAACAGTTCTTTTTACTAAAATTAAACGCCAGACAACTAGCCTTGCCTTTTCAAATATTCAAGGTTTTGCTACCAAATATCTTTTCGGTTAAAATGCGGTACACAACGGCCTCGGAGGATGCCTTCCTGTGGTAAAAATCATCATGGTTTAACCTCATATCGAGAAGTCCTTGGTTGTGTTTACCATCAATTGAAACTAAGGCTTCTTCGGGCAGAGCCACATTTGAAAAATTAGCATTTCAAAACATACCCCATGTGTGGATCGAACTCAAGACCTTCAGATTATGAGACTGACGCGCTACCTACTGCGCAAAAGAGGCCTCTTTGCCAAAGTAGTTCCAGGTGGCTAAATAGAAGTGGCAGTAGATGTGTAGTTTTAGTAAGCAGATATATTGTTTTGGCGGCCAATCTGCAGGCTTTTTACAGAAGGAGCCGTTTCTGTAGTGTAGTGGTTATCACGTTCGCCTTACACGCGAAAGGTCCCCGGTTCGAGACCGGGCAGAAACAGTTCTTTTTACTAAAATTAAACTAGCCTTGCCTTTTCCAGACAACTAGCCTTGCCTTTTCAAATATTCAAGGTTTTGCTACCAAATGAAAAATCATTTTTCGGTTAAAATTCAGATTATGAGACACAACGGCCTCGGAGGATGCCTTCCTGTGGTAAAAATCATCATGGTTTAACCTCTTTTTATAAAATTCGAGAAGTCTTTTCAAATATTGGTTTTGTTTACCATCAATTGAAACTAAGGTTGTGTTTTCAATTGAAACTAAGGGGCAGAGCCACATTTGAAAAATTAGCATTTCAAAACATACCCCATGTGTGGATCGAACTCAAGACCTTCAGATTATGAGACTGACGCGCTACCTACTGCGCAAAAGAGGCCTCTTTGCCAAAGTAGTTCCAGGTGGCTAAATAGAAGTGGCAGTAGATGTGTAGGTTTAGTAAGCAGATATATTGTTTTGGCGGCCAATCTGCAGGCTTTCTACAGAAGGAGCCGTTTCTGTAGTGTAGTGGTTATCACGTTCGCCTTACACGCGAAAGGTCCCCGGTTCGAAAACGGTCAGAAACAGTTCTTTTTACTAAAATTAAACGCCAGACAACTAGCCTTGCCTTTTCAAATATTCAAGGTTTTGCTACCAATCATCTTTTTGGTAAAATGCGGTACACAACGGCCTCGGAGGATGCCTTCCTGTGGTAAAAATCATCAAGGTTTAACCTCATATCGAGAAGTCCTTGGTTGTGTTTACCATCAATTGAAACTAAGGCTTCTTCGGGCAGAGCCACATTTGAAAAATTAGCATTTCAAAACATACCCCATGTGTGGATCGAACTCAAGACCTTCAGATTATGAGACTGACGCGCTACCTACTGCGCAAAAGAGGCCTCTTTGCCAAAGTAGTTCCAGGTGGCTAAATAGAAGTGGCAGTAGATGTGTAGTTTTAGTAAGCAGATATATTGTTTTGGCGGCCAATCTGCAGGCTTTTTACAGAAGGAGCCGTTTCTGTAGTGTAGTGGTTATCACGTTCGCCTTACACGCGAAAGGTCCCCGGTTCGAGGCCGGGCAGAAACAGTTCTTTTTACTAAAATTAAACGCCAGACAACTAGCCTTGCCTTTTCAAATATTCAAGGTTTTGCTACCAAATATCTTTTCGGTTAAAATGCGGTACACAACGGCCTCGGAGGATGCCTTCCTGTGGTAAAAATCATCATGGTTTAACCTCATATCGAGAAGTCCTTGGTTGTGTTTACCATCAATTGAAACTAAGGCTTCTTCGGGCAGAGCCACATTTGAAAAATTAGCATTTCAAAACATACCCCATGTGTGGATCGAAGCATGAAAAATAAATGCAAAATATTTAGACAATGGACCTTTCTGCTTCCCAGGGTTGTGTGCTGTGGATTGTAATTAGACGTTGAAGGTTTACGCCTGTTCAACGTCTAAGATCGAACTGTTTTCAACATTGAAAAGTAGGACAAGATCGACCTGTTTTCAATGTTGAAAAGTAGGACAAATCTGACGTCTTTTCAATTGTACATGCACCCCATGGAACGAGAGAATAAACTGACCCCGGTCAGATAGAAAGAAGAGGCCGAGGTGAACATAGCGATAAACACTGTTTCAAGATCTATAGCAAGCTTAGAGGCCAACATAGCTCTACTCAAGCGGAGAGGGCAGAGAGAGTGTGTTTCCTAGCAAGCTTAGACGTCAACCTAGCTCTACTCAAGCAGAGAGGGCAGAGAGAGTGTGTTTCTGAGACCCGAGGACAGCGGCGAGGGCAAATGAGCTGTGTTTCTGAGACCTGAGGGCAGCTAGCAGGGCAAAAATGAGCTTGTGTTTCCCGGCACCCGAGTACAGCTGGGAGGAGAACGTGTTTCTGACACCCAAAGACAGGGGGAAAGGCCAGGGACAGTGTGTTTCTGAGACCAGAAAAGGACAGTGAGACCAGCAAAGGACAGTTTGTTTCTGAAACCAGAGGGCAGCGAGCAGGGCAAAGAAGTGTTTGTGTTCCCGGGAGCCGAGAACAGCTGGGAGGAGAACGTGTTTCTGACGCCCAAAGACAGGGGGAAAGGCCAGGGACAGTGTGTTTCTGAGACCAGAAAAGGACAGTGAGACCAACAAAGGACAGTGTGTTTCTGAGCCCAGAGGTCAGCGAGCAGGGCAAAAAAGAGCTTATGTTTCCAGGGACACGAGTACATCTGGGAGGAGAACGTGTTTCTGACACCCAAAGACAGCGGCGATGGCGAAGGACAGTGTGTTTCTGAGACCAGAGTGCAGCGAGCAGGGCAAAAAAGAGTTTGTGTTTCCCGGGAGCCGAGTACAGCTGGGAGGGGAACATGTTTCTGACACCCAAAGACAGGGGAAAGGCCAGGGACAGTGTGTTTCTGAGCCCAGAGGTCAGCGAGCAGGGCAAAAAGAGCTTGTGTTTCCCGGCACCCGAGTACAGCTGGGAGGAGAACGTGTTTCTGACACCCAAAGACTGTGGGAAAGGCCAGGGACAGTGTGTTTCTGAGACCAGAAAAGGACAGTGAGACCAACAAAGGACAGTGTGTTTCTGAGCCCAGAGGTCAGCGAGCAGGGCAAAAAAGAGCTTATGTTTCCAGGGACACGAGTACATCTGGGAGGAGAACGTGTTTCTGACACCCAAAGACAGCGGCGATGGCGAAGGACAGTGTGTTTCTGAGAACAGAGGGCAACGAGCAGGGCTAAAAAGAGCTTGGGTTTCCTGGCACCTGAGTACAGCTGGGAGGAGAACGTGTTTCTGACACCCGAAGACAGGGGGAAAGGCCAGGGACAGTGTGTTTCTGAGCCCAGTGGGCAGCGAGCAGGGCAAAAAAGAGCTTGTGTTTCCCGGCACCCGAGTACAGCTGGGAGGAGAACGTGTTTCTGACACCCAAAACAGCGGCGATGGCGAAGGACAGTGTGTTCCTGAGAACAGAAAAGGACAGTGAGACCAGCAAAGGACAGTGTGGTTCTGAGACCAGAGGGCAGCGAGCAGGGCAAGAGAGCTTGTACGTATGCAGAGTATGGAACATTGTGCAAATTGTAAGAACTCACAATACACAGTCATCTTTACATTTCCTTCGTCTGTATTACACTGCTTCCCAGGGTTGTGTGATGTGCCAATTTGGGTGTGGATTTTAAAACGCCCCCCCTAAAATGAACCTCCCGTACTGTGCCCATGCATATTGCTGTATAACCCTCGTGTTGTCCTCGCATCGCCTACACACCCCGAGTCGAGCGGGTCAGAGTGACACTCGATCTCTTTTCACAGCCCTCAGAGTGTTGCAAAAAGGAGGAGGCCGAAATACAACAACGTGCACGTGTTTCACTGTAATCGGTTTATTATTATTATCGCTACTAGTAATTATCTGGGAGGGTGAAAAAAAACACAGCCCAGGGTGAGGCTCGAACTCGCCACCTCGGCATCTAACCCCGCCGTTGACCCGAGGACGGCGGAAGTGAGGGGGAATCCTACGCTCGGGTCGCCGGGACCCGAGGGTAGTGTGAGGGATAACGGTGGCACGGCAACGATATCATCCTCTGGTGACAGAAATGTGTAGTGTGTGCATGAAAAATAAATGCAAAATATTTGGACAATGGACCTTTCTGCTTCCCAGGGTTGTGTGCTGGTAGGGAAAAAAAAAAAACAGCTGGGAGGAGAACGTGTTTCTGACACCCAAAGACTGTGGGAAAGGCCAGGGACAGTGTGTTTCTGAGACCAGAAAAGGACAGTGAGACCAACAAAGGACAGTGTGTTTCTGAGCCCAGAGGTCAGCGAGCAGGGCAAAAAAGAGCTTATGTTTCCAGGGACACGAGTACATCTGGGAGGAGAACGTGTTTCTGACACCCAAAGACAGCGGCGATGGCGAAGGACAGTGTGTTTCTGAGACCAGAGTGCAGCGAGCAGGGCAAAAAAGAGCTTGTGTTTCCGGGAGCCGAGTACAGCTGGGAGGAGAACGTGTTTCTGACACCAGAAGACAGGGGAAAGGCCGAGGACAGTGTGTTTCTGAGCCCAGAGGTCAGCGAGCAGGGCAAAAAAGAGCTTGTGTTTCCTGGCATCCGAGTACAGCTGGGAGGAGAACGTGTTTCTGACACCCAAAGACTGTGGGAAAGGCCAGGGACAGTGTGTTTCTGAGACCAGAAAAGGACAGTGCGACCAACAAAGGACAGTGTGTTTCTGAGCCCAGAGGTCAGCGAGCAGGGCAAAAAAGAGCATTTGTTTCCAGGGACACGAGTACATCTGGGAGGAGAACGTGTTTCTGACACCCAAAGACAGCGGCGATGGCGAAGGACAGTGTGTTTCTGAGACCAGAGT